TGAGGTCTTGATGCGGGTATATACTTAATTAGGTTTAGTTATTATTTTAGATCAATAATGTATGTAACTATTTCTGCGCTGTTGTATACGTAATATTTATTTGTCCGTATTATAAACTATTTATTTGTTCGTATTACGGAATATTTTTCGCATTAATATATAGTAGGTTCTAATTTACGGACTAAGTATATTATCGGTGACATCTCCAGTAAAGCTTCCGCTATCACCGCTCTGTGTCATATGATCACATGATTTGGCCAAAATTACATGTGTAGTTTTGGCCGAATCATGTGATCATCTGACACAGATTGGTGATCGCGGGAACTTTACCGAAAGTGTCACCATAATAGTAGACTTAATCCCTACTTTAAATTCACTTAATTATGCAAATCACGCCATGTGCGCGGTCCGATACCAAGTCATAAAAATAAGTTTTTCACTATACTGATTTAAATTAATGCATGTGATTAGAAATACATTATACATTTGTTAATCGTGATATGTATAATGCAGACCATACTTTTTATCACGTGTTCCGACTTTGTTAACATTGTAGTATCAGGAAATATTATTACGGTTTGCAAATGTTTGTGTCCTGACGAAAAAGATTCAAAAAACGTGTCCCGGCTTTCTCCGGATTATCGTTCTAGAAAATACACATCTTTTCGGAATAAAACATATATAAATTCATAGAATCCCGTAATTTTGGGTAAAAATCAAATTCCGATAAGATTCGGCTTCCAATTATAGTATAATGAAGTACAAAATATCAAAAGCCGAATTTTATCCGGATTTTGATTTTTACAAGAATATTATCGGGATTTTATGAATTTTAAATTTTAAATTTTATAGGTATATTATTAATTGTTGTTCTATTTGACATGTCTACATGGGATAATGCCATGAAGTTTAATGATTGACGTCGCTAACAGTTTTTAAATGATATGTGAAGGGATTGTATACATTTGAGTACATAATGAACAATGATAATCAACCGGAATTAAAAATTAGCCTTTCAAGTGTATTATTTTACACATCACAATTGTCATGATTTACAGATCATACATAAATTTAAATTATTTATGGATCATATAATTTTTTATAATTACTTAACTCATATAGAAATGTGAATAAAAAAAATTTACGCATCCAATCTTTGATGTCCACTCTGTTATATGTAGAAATATAGTAAAAATTTGATTGATACTTGCTAAAAATGATTTTAAATCTTTCATAAGCCTGAATAACTAAAAGGTCTTGATCAACGAGTTGTTCAACGAATCTAAACCATGAATGTACATCATTCTTTCTTTAGTGACGGTAACACTAGATACCATTATGTACGTGATTTTGTCTATTACAAATACGTAAAATTAAAAATCAGAGCTCGTATGCATATATATATATTAAAGCATTTGTTCGTTGGCCTCTACCATTTACAAAAATGATTACTCTTCCAGATGAATGCTTTTCTAAAATATTCAACCATCTTCGCACTCATTACAAATTTTTATTTTCATGCCTTCTTGTTAATCGTCAATGGTGTAAAAATGTTATTCCAATATTATGGAGCGAACCATCTTTATATCTCAGTGATAAAACTCTTATAAGAGTTTACCTTTTAATGTTAAATGATGATGAAAAAACTCCATTAATCACATTAAAAATACCTCTTCCAAATGATCCAAAACCATTATTTGAATACTCAACTTATACTAAGGCTTTTAGTTGTAATGGTTTAGAAAATGGCATCGTAAATTGGCTTTGCCGTGATGATGATCAACCTTATACCCATGGAGATTATTACGACAAATTTACAATTTATAAGGATAAAGTTCAAGCGATCAAAAGTTCTTTAACTGCAATGCTCTTACGAACAAGCGAACAAATTGAAGATTTAAGAATTTGTAATTTTATAGATAGTAAAATAATAACTTCATTAATAAATGCTTTTTATAAAAAAAGGGATACAATTACTTCCTTGGATTTTTCTCGTACCAACCTTAGCTTGAAGGATGTAAAAATACTGGCTGATGTTCTTCGTAAAAGTACAACTTTGACTTCATTACAACTTTATAATTGTAAACTCGGTCCTGAGGATGCAAAAATATTAGCAGAGGCACTTGCTGAAAATACTTCTTTATCCTCCTTAAATCTCTCTTTTAATGAATTTGGTTATGAAGGTGCATTAGCATTTACACAAGCTCTTCATAAAAATACCACTTTAGCTTTCTTAGATTTTGGCTATAATCAACTTGGTTTAGAAGGTGGAAAGATATTTGCCGATGCTCTTTCTAATAATATCTATTTAACTTCTTTACGACTTGGTGGTAATAATCTTGGCTTTAGAGGGGGTAAAGCATTGGCGGATGCTCTATACAAAAACACTACTCTGACCTCTTTAAATCTTTATAATAATAAACTTGGTTATAAAGGAGGAAAAGAGTTAGCAAAAGCTTTATGCAACAACAAAACTTTAAAGTGGTTAAATATTGGTAATAATCAACTTGGCTTCGAAGGAGGGAAAGTATTTGCAGATGCTCTTGGTAAAGGTACGGTAATAACTTTCTTGGATCTTAGTTCTAATGAGCTTGGCTATAAAGGTGGAAAAGAATTAGCAAAAGCCCTTTGTTCAAATTCCACTTTGAAATCTTTACGACTTGATGGCAATAAACTTGGTTCTAAAGGAGGAAAGGCTCTAGCAGAAGCTCTTTCTATAAATTCCACCTTGACTTCCTTGGAACTTGGCCATAATGAGCTTGGTTATGAGGGTGCGAAAATGTTAGCAGAGGTCCTTTACAAAAATTACACTTTAACTTCCTTGGGACTTGGTCACAATGAACTTTGTTCTGATAGCGTGAAAGAGTTAACAGAGGCCCTTTGCAAAAACATCACTTTAAAATCTTTAAATCTTGAAAATAATCAATTTGAGTTTGAAGGAATACAACTATTGGCAAATGTTCTTTGCAAAAACACCACTCTTACTTCCTTAAATCTTAACGGTAACCAACTTAGTTTAAGAGAAGGAAAACTATTAGCAGATATTCTTTGCATAAATACTACATTAACAAATCTAAGTCTTTCTCATAATCAACTCGGTTTTGGAGGGGGAAAAGCATTAGCGATAGCTCTTTGCAAAAACAATACTTTAACTGATTTAAAACTTAACGATAATTTTATTGGTATTAAAGAAAGGAAAATATTATTAAAAGTTATTTATAAAAATATTTCTTTAAAATTTCCAGATAAATTTTTTCTTTAAAAAATTTTTAAATATATAGACTAATAGATATCGTATAAATCAATAAATCAATAAATAAATAAAATTTTTGTTTCTCGTTATTGTTTTTATGTGCATACACTGGGTTTGGTGATAAATTACATTGCAAATGTTATTTTCGTGATAATCACTTTGTCTAAAATTTCTTTTCTTTCTATCCCAATTATTATTTACAAGGTCATTAAAATAACCAAAACCTTAAATCTCATTAGTTCGAAGGAAACATCTAATAAAATTTGAATTTTGGTTTGCTATTTATAAGTTTTTTTTGGTAGCTTTTGATAGCAGATTAGAAAACAAAAGATTACGATTACAGAAGAACTTAATATCATAATTTCAAGATATTTTGATTTTATAATACGAAGGTGGCCATCTGGTTTTGAATTACCTTTCAACTTAGATACTGTATTTGTTTATTTAATCAACCAAATATTAAACAAAATCTGTAGAGAAACTTTAGTAATGACAAAATGAAAGGTCTTTTACAGTACACAATTTCTATTCATTTTTCTACCACGTCATTCATTAAGAATTCTTATACACATTTGCTATTTCAATGTCATATTTAATTTTCTACGAGTAAATAAACCAAATATTATAATAAAATATAAAATACGAACATGATTAAAAAAGAAAGTAAGTTATAGTTATTGTATGGGTTGTAGAAAATAACTAAATTTGCACGGGTTAACCAGTTCTACATGGTCGAAGGTTGCAAATTTAGTTATTTTATGCAATCCCATATAATAACTATATTATTGCACGGGTCTGACGTAACAACCCATGCGACACCTTCCACATTAATAAAAAGGACAATTTTACTGTTGATGTTATGAAGGTTCTTTCCAATAAGAATTTTTTTAAAAAGCGAAGAACTAAATCTAATCAAGCAAAATTCCAATTATATATAACCTTATCCAAAAATTTTTTAAAAAAAACGAAACTTTAATCATGTAAAGAATCCTGTTCAATGAAAAATGAAATAAAATAACAACATGATTCCATTTAGTGTTATATAGAAAGCGAAGACTTAATAATAAATAACCTGCCTAATGATAATTTTAAAAACTGAGGTTTAATAATAAGTAATTCAGTATACTAAGAATTATAAAAGAAAAAGATTTAATAATATATGACTAATCTAACAAGAATTTAAAGAAAGTAAAAATTAATAACATGCAACTTCCACCAACAAGAATTTTAAAGTAAACTGAAAAATCTAAAAATGTGCGATTCTATTTAATATGAATTTAAAGAACCGAAGATAGAAGCGAAGATATAATAACGTCTAACTTCAATAAGGCTTTGAAGAAAACTAAGTATATAATGAAAAAAAAATATGAAAACAAATTAATACTAACACCGTCCAATGACAATTTAAAAAGTAAAGACCTAATGCTCTATCGACAATTTTAAAAATATGAAGACAAACAATTTAATAAAAATAAAATAACTAAATTGAAACATTGATAAAATATGAAAGTGTTCCGATTTAATTATTTTTTTAAACACGTGCTGTAAATGAGTGAAAAAAGCACGGGCGTTACATAAGACCCGTGCAATAATATTAATTAATATATATAATAAATAAAATAGGAACACAAACAAAGGCAAGGTGGTAAGTGGCCAATATATAATGGAAATATAGCCAATGATAAACTTAGTAAACCAACGTTACAGTATTATTAAGATGAAACTTCAAAATCCAAATCTATTGGAATTATAAGTTGAGCTGCGTATTTATTTCATCTGTTTCAAGTCGAGACGTGTAATTTGTATCTGGATGCTGTTTCAAAATTTTCGATTGTGAAAAAATAATCTCATCTATTTCAAGTTCAGACGTATAATTTAAATCTGGATGCTGTTCCAAAGTTTTCGATCGTGAAAAAATAATTTCATCTGCTTTCAAAAATGCATTTTTAATTTTCAACTCTTCATAACTTAATTTTTTAGCTTCTTCTATATCTTGATGTATTTTAATGACTTCAGCCGTTCTCAAAAGTGAACCAAGATAATCTTTTTGCCCTCGTGTAAATACTGTATTTAATTCAGACAATTCATATTCAGATAATTCATTGGCAATGCCATAACGGTGTAAGTTTATTTCGTTATAAAGTTCTTCAGTTCCTTCATCGAGAACTAATTTTTGCACGTTTTCATCTGCTTCAATAAAAGTATCATTAAATTTTTTTTTTTCAGTTGTTTTATCGAGAATCATTGTCCATTCTCGTAATTTCTCACAAACATATTTAGCAGTTGGTCGTTTTGTTGGATCTCTATCCATACATTGGTTTGCAAGTTCAATATAACATTCAGGTGTTCCTTTTGCAAATTCTGGTCTCAATCCGTCAAATTTTTTTTCTCTTGTTATCGTCTCAATTGATGAATTTTGGAAGGGTGGTTCTCCGGTTGACACTTCAGACATAATTATACCCAAACTATAAATGTCTGAAGCTTTTGTATACGGCTGTCCTGATAATACTTCATCAGCAATATATTGTATTATTCCGTATATTCTACCATCTATATTAATTTCATCTATTCTGCTAGAAAGTCCTAAATCTGAAATCTTTGGTTCAATATTTGACTTTTTTCCAATATTTTGTGTAATAATAATTTGTTTATTATTCATATTATAGGTATTCATTAATAAATCATTTAAACTAAAATTTCCAGTAAATATAAGAATATTGCCACTGTGAAGATCTTTGTGAACATATCTTTGATGAATATAATCCAAATTATCCGATATAGAATAAAGGAGTTTTAATTTTTGCTTCCAGGTGAGGCTTGTAAAATTTTCAGACAAATAATCTCGAAGATTTCCTTTATCTGCATATTCATAAACCATCATGTATTTCTCGTGATCTGTATCATAAGTTACTCCATATGTTTCTATCCCATATTTTTCTATGCTAAGTTTTTCATGCTGACATTCATAATGGGCTTTTAACTTAAGCCAAAAATAAATCGTTATTAATTTTATTTTTATTAAAGATAAACTATATAAAATTTCTTACCTCATCTAAGAAATCCAATGAAACATTTTGAGTTCCAGTTAAATTTTTAAGCGCAACTTTGCAAAATTGCTCACGTGTCTTTATTAATCTTCTAGTCGGTTTATCCCAACTATAATTTCGCTTACCATCAATCCAAGTTGCAGAATAAATTGTACTAGATCCACCTTTACCAATTTTTTCAATATTTTCTAATCT